CTTTCCTCAGTCATGCCTACTGGCCGGTCCACTTCCTTTGAAACGTTTTATTCAGCTCCTTGACTTCATCCTTCCATTTGCTTTAGCTGCTCTATGATTAAGAACAAGTTTCGGAATTTCTTCTGAGACCCTCTGATCTTTTTTTTCCTTTCCTGCCTTTTAAATGACGATTTGCTTTCTTCTTGAATGAGGGTCTTGATGTCCTCCCACAGCTCATCGGGGCTTCTGTCATTAGTGTTCAAGCCTTAAACCTGTTCTTGAGGTGTTCCCTAGAGCAAGTGGGATTTTGGCTCTTGTGAACTTGTTTTAATTTTCTTCAGATTTATCCTGAACTTACATATGAGCAACTGATGGTCTGTTCCACCGTCAGTCCCCAGTCTGGTTTTAGCTGCTGGTATTGAGCTTCTCCACCGTGTCTCCCCACAGATGTCAATTTGATTTACGCGGATTCCATCTGGGGAAGTCCATGTGTTTAGTCGCCCTTAGTGTTGTTGAAAAAAGGTATTTGCTATGAACAAGTCATTGTTTTGCAAAATTCTATCATGTGAACTCCAGTTTCATTTCTCTCACCAAGCCCATATTTTCCAACTGCTGTTCCTTCTTTGTTTCTAACTTTTGCATTCCAATCACCAATAACTATCAATGCATCATGATGGCACACTTGATCAATTTCCAATCGAAGTCATTGGTAGGATTCTTCAATTTCCTCTTCACTAACTTTTGTGGTTGGTGCATACATTTCTTGGAGGGGAGTTGACCATGGCAATGTGAATGGGGTAAAGCTGTGAGAGTGGAGCCCTTCTGATCTTCATTTGCTAGTGGGGCATGACTCCAGATAAAAAGAAACAGCTACAGAAATCTTCTAATGATTGGGACTTAGAATGTGCAAAACATTTAGGAAAATTGGAAATGGTCAAAAATGAAATGTAACACATGAAAATCGATGTCTTAAGCATTAGTGAGATGACATGGACTGGTAGTGGACATTTTGAATTAAAAAAAAATCATACAATTTACTATGCCGGGAATAGCACCATCAAGAGGAAAGGTGTGGCATTCATTGTCAGAAAGGGTCTTCCTACA